CACAAGGATCCATTATTGCAGATTAGGACTCGTAAGAACGTGAGGGTAGGTAGAGGATTCTGACCGTAGGATTCTCAGACATCCATCCTTGCAGTTCTTAGGAATCATTCAGTTAGTATCTTCTTCCTCCAGGGTTTTCTGAGCCTCATCAGCTCACCTCAGTCATTTAATCTTCCATTCTCTCGGTCCTTGCAGTCATTCTTCTTGCCGATAGATTTCTGTCCCTGTTGTGTCCCTATTGTTTGTCCTGTCCTGTGTCACAGGTGTCTGCACATATTGGTGCCAGAGCTGCTCCGCCCTGCCGCATAGCCTGGTGTAATAGACAAATTCCGGGGGCTTGAAATTTGTAGTGTGGGGTGTAGTTGGAGTCTAGATAGTATTCCTAGGTTGACTCAAGCTGTCTGGACTGTGGAGTTGTCCTGCAGCCCTTTGACTTTTGTCCTAACTTTCTTTCAGATGCAGACGGACAAAATCCATGGCGGAGCACCCCATCCCAGGTGAGCGGGTTCCCCCGAGCAGGTCAGTCCCTGCAGTTTGTCTCTGCAGGGGGAGTGTAAATGGTGACTCTGTTACAGCATTTTTGTTTTTCTTTATTTTAGGAAGTAAAGGCATATAGCAACAGTCAAGTTCAAGTGGGCAAGGTGAGCAGTGGGCAGAAGCAGTTGTTATTGCAGGGGTCTCAATTTCTGGTGCAGCTCTAAGCCTCTGTTCTTGTTTGTGTTCCTTAGGTAATCCACTCAGGTTATGTCAAGCCCCCATCACCAACCGGCCGACGGACCAAGTTTGCTGCTCTTGTGGGCCCTGTGGAGGTATTGCAGGACCCTGTGATGAAGCTTGGAAATTTTCTGCTTAAAGGTCCCTTCTGGATAGCCCTCAGGAATGCCTGAGGAGTCACAGTGAGTTGGGGAGGTATTGAGGAGGAGGGAGGGTCCGCTCAATTCTCAGCAGTGCCACAGCACCTCGTCTCCCCTTTACCCAGGCGTAGCCCCAGGCATGGCTGAGGAGTCATGGTGAGTCTGGGAGGTATTGAGGGGGAGGGAGGGTCCACTCAGTTCTCAGCAGTGCCACATCACCTCATCTCGCCTTTACCCAGGTGTAGCCTGAGACATCGGCGTTGGCCTGAGAGCACTTCTGAAGCATGCGGCCCGAGGAGCCAGTCATTCATAGGAGGCGGTGAATAGCAGGACTGTCGGATTTTAGTCGACGTGCTGCGAAGATGCCGCACTGATGTCTGGTTTTCTTTCTCTTGACAGACTAGGAGGCAGCAGCCCCGTGACAGCAGGAACCTCCCAGACAGCCCGGTGGCCTTCCTTTGCACCCGCTGTGGATTCTCATTCCCAGACATGCAAGAGATAAGTTGAGGGCTGTGAGTCACAGAGGGGATGCAGACAGAAGGGGGCTGCTGTGTCAGTACTCACCGGGAGGGATTTTTGAGTCAGCTTTGGAGCTGAGGATATCTAGAAAATGTTGTCTTAAGACCACACAAAAGCCAAGTGTCATTTTTGATCCCAGCGCTGAGGTGCGCAGGGCAGAGCAGTTCTGGTGTGTGTCATGTCAGTTGTGTGTCGTGCCTTATGTGTTGTTTGGCTGTCTCATGTCTTTGACCTTAACCCTTTGAGGGGCCTCTCAGAAACCCTGGCATCATTCTTAGCATCTGCGATCTCTGCATTTCTTGGCTTGGCACCAATGCCATAAGACTTTTGACTCAGGAGCTGACACAGGCATCAGAGTTGCACCTCTCTTTAGAAGCATCCAGTTCAGATGTCTTTGCAGGTCTCATTCCGAGCCGTACGGACAGCTGCGCCTCGCAAGGATCCATTATTGCAGATTAGGACTCATAAGAACGTGAGGATAGGAAGAGGATTATGACCGTAGGATTCTCAGACATCCACCCTTGAAGTTCTTAGGAATCATTCAGTTAGTATCTTCTTCCTCCAGGGTTTTCTGAGCCTCATCAGCTCACCTCAGTCATCTAATCTTCCATTCTCTCGGTCCTTGCAGTCATTCATCTTGCCGATAGATTTCTGTCCCTGTTGTGTCCCTGTTGTTTGTCCTGTCCCGTGTCACAGGTGTCTGCACATATTTGTGCCAGAGCTGCTCCGCCCTGCCGCATAGCCTACTGCAGTAGGACAAGTCCCAAGAATTTGTAATTTGTAATGTGGGATGTAGTTGGAGTCTAGATGGTATTTCTAGATTGACCCAAGATGTCTGCAGCTGTGAAGGTATCCTACAGCCCATTGACTTTTGTCCTAACTTTCTTTCAGATGCAGATGGATAAAATCCATAGCAGAGCAGGCCATCCCAGGTGAGCGGGTTCCCCCGAGCAGGTCAGTCCCTGCAATTTGTCTCTGCAGGGGGGGTGTAAATGGTGACTCTGTTACGGCATTTTTGTTTTTCTTTATTTTAGGAAGTAAAGGCATATAGCAACAGTCAAGTTCAAGTGGGCAAGGTGAGCAGTGGGCAGAAGCAGTTGTTATTGCAGGGGTCTCAATTTCTGGTGCAACTCTAAGCCTCTGTTCTCATTTGTGTGCCTTAGGTAATCCACTCAAGTTATGTCAAGCCCCCATCACCAACCAGCCGACGGACCAATTTTGCTGCTCTTGTGGGCCCTGTGGAGGTATTGCAGCACCCTGTGATGAAGCTTTGAAATTTTCTGCTTAAAGGTCCCTTCTGGATAACCCTTAGGAATGCTTGAGGAGTCACGGTGAGTCAGGGAGGTATTGAGGAGGAGGGAGGGTCCACTCAATTCTCAGCAGTGCCACATCACCTCGTCTCCCCTTTACTCAGGCGTAGCCCGACACGGCCACGTCGGTCTCGGAGCACGGCCGAAGCGTGCGGCCCGAGGACCCGGTCTTTCTTAGGAGGCGGTGAGTAGCAGACTTGTTGGGTTTTGGTTGATATGCTGCTAAGATGATGCACTGATGTCTGGTTTCCTTTATCTTGACAGACTAGGAGACAGCAGCCCCGTGACAGCAGGAACCTCCCAGACAGCCTGGTGGTCTTCCTTTGCACCCGCTGTGGATTCTCATTCCTGGACAGCCAAGAGATAAGTCGAGGGCCGTGACTTAGAGGGGATGGAAGGGGGCTGCTGTGTCAGGACTCACCAGGTGGGATTTTTGAGTCAGCTTTGGAGCTGAGGATATCCAGGAAATATTGTCTTGAGGCCACACAAAAGCAAAGTGTCATTTTTGATCCCAGCGCTGAGGTGCGCAGGGCAGAGCAGTCCCGGTGTGTGTTGTGTCATGTGGCTATTGTGCATTATGTGTTGTTTAATGTCTTTTCCCTTAGCCCTTTGAGGGGCCTAACAGAAACCCTGGCATCATTCTTAGCATCTGTGATCTCTGCATTTCTTGGCCTGGCACCAATGCAAGAGGACTTTTGGCTTAGGAGCTCGGACAGGCGTCAGAATTGCATTTCTCTTTAGGAGCATCCGGTCTGATGTCTTTGCAGGTCTTGTTCTGAGCCGTATGTACTGCTGTGCATCGCAAGAATCCATTATTGCAGATTAGAACTCGTAAGAACGCGAGGATAGGTAGGGGGTTCTGACCGTAGGATTCTCAGACATCCATCTTTGCAGTTCTTTGACAAAATCATTCTTTTAGGAGATGCTTCCTCTGTGGTTGTCTGAGCCTCATCAGCTCACTGTCAATCTCACCTCAGTCATTTCATTTTGCATTCTCTCAGTCCTTGCAGTCATTCTTCTTGTCAAGAGATACTAGTCCCTGTTGTGTCCCTGTTGTTTCTCCTGTCCCGTGTCACAGGTGTCTGCACACGTTTGTGCCAGAGCTGCTCCGCCCTGCCGCGTAGCCTGGTGTAATAGGACAAATTCTGGGGGCTTGAAATTTGTAGTGTGGGGCGTAGTTGGATTCTAGATGGTATTCCTCGGTTGACCCTAGGAAGTTGTCTGGAGCTGTGAAGTTATCCTGCTGCCCTTTGAACTTTGTCCTGACTCTCTTTCAGATGCAGACTGATAAAATCCATGGCAGAACTCCCTATCCCAGGTGAGTGGGTTCCCCCGAGCAGATCAGTCCCTGTTTGTCTCTGCAGGGGGAGTGTAAATGGTGACTCTGTTACAGCATTGTTCTTTTTGTTTATTTTTAGGAAGTAAAGCCATCTAGCAGCAGTCAAGGCAAAGTGGTCGAGGTGAGCAGTGACCAGTGGACAGAAGCTGTTGTTATTGCAGGGGTCTCAATTTCTGGTGCAACTCTAAGCATCCACTGTTTTGTTTTTTTTTTTTTAGGCGGTCCACTTTCACTCCATGCTGGCTGAGGATGCTTGATGCCAGGTGGGTGCAAGCTTATGGTGTACTTGTGGCTTATTTGTCAGGTTAGGGAGGTCATGTTTTCATAGTATCTCAGCATGCTTTTTTGCTTTGTTTCTTTGCCAGTTCCATCACTGCCCTCGGTGTGCCAAGGAACAGATGTGAGGGGGCAGGGTGACTCATAGGCGAGCGTTATGCAGCAGCATGCTAAGCGTGTACCTTTTCTTTTTGCAGGTACCTTCCAGGCAGACTCTGGAGTCAAATCAAGATTTGAGGTGAGCTGGGGCAGTGGTGTGGAGGAGTCCCGGGGATTACTGTTTTTGAGGGCAATAGTCACATTTTCTGTTTTGTCTTAGGTATCGCGAGGAGCTTCGTAGCCAAAGTTCGGAGAGAGCACCACCGAAGCACATGAGACCATCTCAACGTCCACGTCCCACCGGGGATGGATTTTGTCAGCTCGTCTTCCAAAAGCTAAGTGTTGGGGTCCATAGTTGGGAGAAGGGGAAAAACCTTTATTGTCACAGGAGGCCATGTGATATTAGCTTAGCGGAACAGGTCCCTCGGAAGTAAAGGGAGAGGGTTTCTCCTTGGCCTCACCAGAGCCTTTGCCGGGCAGGGCAGTTCCGACCCGTCTCCGCGTTCTCGCGAACTTTGCGTCGTCAGCCTCCTTCGACCCTCGACATCGTCGTGGATCTTTCTCCCGAGGAGCTCGCCTTCAGGTCCGGAGCTATAGCCACCATCACCTGGCAGTCTTTGCTTCCTTATCTAGGCCCACCGAGCCTCTCAAGCATCCTCTTAACTGCTTTGGCACTAACTTCTTTTAAGGAGTTGCATTTCATCGTCACACGCTATTGCCATAGGACTCGCTTTACTTTGGCATCTTTGGCCTCTGGCTCATCTTGCGCTAGGAATCTTGAGTCCATAAGGTGAAACTGCTAGGCAGTTTCCACCTGTGTCTGTGTTATGTCACCTGTGTCTGTGTTATGTTGTCTACATTACAGTGTCTGCGTTATGTAGTCTGTGTCCAGCGTCTTCCGTGTCGTAGGCCTTTGTTACATCGCAACGCCGTATCGGCATCATTCCGTGCCGTATCGGCCATATTTTACTCGCGTTCCTTCCCGGACATTGCTTATTCTGCCATCTCTCTTTTGAGACACAAGGAAGTACACAGATGTTCTCATCAGTCTTCCGTCTCAGCTGTGGTAGTGCCTTTTTCTTCCTGTGCTATTCTCTTGGGCTTCTATAGGGAGTGTCTTACACCCTCCTCATGTGACTGCCATAGTTCTGTAGGTTCCATCTTCTCAAAGGGTACGGTGCTCAAGAATTAATCTTCCAGAGAGTTATCTGAAGTCCTGGTTTACATTGTATGTGCTTATGTTGTATGTACCTATGTTGGCTTATATTGTATGTAGTTATATTGCATGAATCTATGTTGGCTTATATTGTATGTACTTATATTGTATCTAATTATGTTGGCATATATTGCATGTACTTGCACGGTATGTAATTATGTTGACTTCTATTGTGTGTACTTGTATGGTATGTAATTATGTTGGCTTCTATTGTGTGTACTTGTATGGTACGTAATTATGTTGGCTTATATTGTGCGTACTTATATTGCGCCACTTGTGGTCGGAGCTGCTCTGCCCTGGCATGTAGTCACAGTTAGGTAGAACAGTTATAAAAACTTTACCATTCATCTATCTTCTATGGGATTTTGGGTAGAAAACTTAGGGGCCCGGAGCAGGGACAAGTCCTAGCCATCAGATAGCCACGTGTCGACCACCTCCCGTTGTCTCTCAGGTCCCCGAGGCGACCGATTTTCCCAGAATCTGCCATTTGATGTCAAGGAGCGGCAGTCGGATGACGCGGCGAAGCACGTTGTTCAGGGTTTCAAGTAAGGGCCGCAGCGAGCATGTAAGTCGAAGAGCGTGCAAGCCCGCGTGAGCGCAAGTGACTGTCTGTGTCCGCTTGTCTCCGCATGTGCGAGTGTATGCTGACTAGATCTAACCTTATGCGTGTGATGTTTGCCTTTCAGGTTTTTCAACACATTTTAAAATTTAGAATAAAAAGTCCCTAGCCGGGGTTTTTTTTTTTCCCCCCCGGCTGGGTTTTTTTCCCTCGGTCCCGGCCGGTCTGCGAGGCGACGTTCATCGCCAAAGTTTGGGCGCAGACCGTCCTGGGACCGGGGTTTTTGTCAGGCAGGAGGATTTTTTGGAGGCTCCCGGGAACCACGTTCCCAAGGACTGACGATGTCTTGGGTGTTATTGAGCAGGTGAAATCAGAGCGATGGAGAGTTCGTGCGTAAGGTGAAGGACGTGTTCATGGCAGATGAGTGTTGTGTTCTGTGCACCGCTTTTGTTTTGGGGTTCCTGTAACAATAAATCCAAATGTAATGAAAATAGGAAAAAGGTTATCTTGTGTTAGTATGTGTTTGGCTTTTATTGTTTGTGTTGTTCTGTATTTGCATTAGCCGGTGCATTATTGTATATTGGTCTGTATGTAAAATGGCCTTTTACCACTATGTGTATGGATTCTATGTGTACTTGCCTTTGTATACGCTGTTTCCATGTGTTTTGCTGAAGTGTAAATAAGAAAATTCATTCAATAAAGTTGAATCAACCCTAATAAAGATGCCCCCTTTCTGTCGTGTCCATGTCCCCCCCCCCCGCCCCCCACTTTGGCTCCTGTCTTTATTTGGTGTGGTGTAGTCATTGTTTTCCACTGCCTTTGTTCCTAGTACCTCTCACTTTTCTTTTCCTACCTTCATTTGTCTGTCTCTATCCCTGTGTCTCTTTCTTGGTGTTTCTAGCTCTGTCTGTGCTTCTGTAACTCTGTTTCTCTGATTTATTTTCCCTCTGTTTCTGTATGTTACTATTTCTCTTTAACTCTATTTGTCTTCAAGTGTAACCCTTTGTTCTTCTTTTCTACAGTCATTCTTCCTTTTCCCTCTCTTCCCTTTTCCACTCTCTTTTTTGGTCTTACTGCTTTCCTTTTTCACTTTAACTCTAACCTGTCTTCTTTGTCAATCTGACTCTTCTCTTTCTTGACTCTATTGCTCTCCTGTGTTTTCACTCTCTTGTTGTTCTCTTTTCTCTCTTCTGTCTCTTCAGTCTTTTCCTTTGGCACTCTGTTGTATTCTGTCTCTTTTCACTCTCTTCTGTTCTGTCTTGATTCTCTCCTATTCCGTCTTCTTTTCTCTTTTCTCTCTCTTTTCACTGTCTCTCCTCTCTCTGCACTCTTGTATTCTGTCTCGTTGCTCTCTTCTATTCTCTGTTGGCTTTCTCCTATTCCGTCTTCTTTTCTCTTTTCACTCTCCCTTCTTCTGTGTCTTCTCTTTTCATTCTCTTTTGTCGTGTGTCTTCACTCTCTTTTATTCTCTGTTCTCTTTTCTCTCTTCTCTGTCTCCTCTCTGTCGTCTTCCCTTCTTTTCTCTGCTCTCTTGTTTCACTTGTCTTCTCTCTCTTTTTGGTTCTGTTTTCTCCTCTTTTCTCTCTTCTTTCACTCACTCTTTCTTTCTTCCCTTATTTTCTGTTTCTACTCCTCTGTTGTTTTCTCTCATCTCTTCTTTCCACTTCTCTCGTCTGTGTCTTTTGTCTCTCCTCTTTCCTCTCTCCTCTTCTCTCGCTTTCCTTTAATCTTCTGTTCTCTTCACTTCTCTCTTCTCTTCTCTCATCTTTTCTTTTCTCTCTTCTCTTTTCACTCTTCTCTCTCCTTTCAGTCTTCTGTCTTCTTTTCTGTTCTATTTTCTCTCTTTCTAGACTTAGAATAAAAAAGCACCACTAGAAACTTTCAGGCTTCCTGGGAGTAAAGAAAAAAAAACAAACCCACAACTTAAAAAAAGATGTAAAAAACAACCATTTACTCCCCGGGAGCCTGAAAGTTTCTAGTGGTGCACCAGACATATAGTTTTTCTTCTTTTTATATATACATTATAGGATCCCTAATCATCCCCACCTGGCAGTAACCCCTAGCAACAGGTGGCCACTCAGACGATAATCACACCCCTTAATTGCCTAGACACACCACAAGTCAATCACACATGCCTTCACCCATATACAGCCCATACTAGACCGCCACCTGCCGATCACAATCCAGTACTGCAAACACAGCGCCTCCTGGTGTATGCTGCAAACAACTGCAGGTACTGCACCCACATTACGTCACCGCGCTGACACGTCTCTCCACCCCCAGAACCCGCCCCTAACCCCGCCCCAGGTGCAAGACAAGGACCCCAAGGCATAGGCGACCACACAGAATGCCTGCCCGAAACTCCGACACACACCGGGCTCGCCAAAACCCACCGCGGACGGCGCCGCGCGCCGACCGCCCCCCGGAATGCCACGGCAAGCAACGCGGCAGCCCAGAAACCGCTAAAAAAGCCAAAATCGGAACCATGGCCGGAACGCCGCCATGTTGTACGGCATCGCGTGACCTCCACGAGGCCGCCATCTTGGCTCCCGTACCACGTGAGAGATGGCTGCCGCCATCTTGACTAAGACCACGTGACGATGCGGAGGGCGCCATCTTGGCCGCCAACCACGTGATTCCATGGGGGCCGCCATATTGAGCCACTACCACACTGCACCAGACATTTATAGTTTTTCTTCTTTTTATATATATACCCGACAGGACCCCTAATTAGCCCCACCCTCCCACCTGTAAGTAACCCCTGGCAATACCTGCCCACTGACACGATAACCACGCCCCCTAATTGCCTAGACACACCACAAATCACTCACACACGCCCTCCTCCATACTCACCGCATACTACACCACCACCTGCCGACCAAAATGAATTACTGCAGTCACAGCGCCACCTGGGGTATGCCGCCGGCAACTGCAGGTACTGCACTGGCATTACGTCACGCCCCGGCCACGCCCCGGACCAGAGACCCTCCCCGGTACCAGCCCCTAACCCCGCCCCTGGTGCCAGGAAGGCCCCCAAAGCATAGTCGACCACGCAGAACGCCCGCCCGAAACACCGACACACACCGAACGCCCCAAAACCCGCCGCGGGCAGCACCACGCGCCGCCCGGCCCCGAGGATGCCACCGGGAGCAGCGCAGCAGCTGAGAAACCCCTAAAAAACCCAAAACCGGGACCCCGCCCGGAACGCCGCCATGTTGTACGTCATCAAGTGACCCGATGGCGGCCGCCATCTTGACCCCGATCACATGATGATACGGAGGGCGCCATCTTGGCCGCCAACCACGTGGTGCCATGGGGACCGCCATCTTGAACCACCACGTGACCACATGGGGGCCACCATCTTGTACGAACTAGGGTTAGGGCTAAGGGTTAGGGTTAGG